AGCAGCGGCAGCGGACTGTCCAGGGCAGCAGGCCCGCGACGACGGCAGTGGTGGCAGAGTGGCCAGACCCGCTGGCGCGCGGTGTGCGAGCGCGTGCGTGAATCTTGTGCTTGGGCGCAGCAGCAGGTGACTGTGGCTAGCAGCACGGAGCCAGCGGCAGGACTAGCTAGCGCGGTGGCACACGTGTGGGTGTGGGTGTCAGTCGGTCGGCGCGGTGACGCCGAGTGCCGGGCTCGGTGACCGCATCCAGATGCTGAAGCCGCCGGGAACAAGCCTTGCGCGCTTTTTAAAGCATCCCAAAAAGGCAACCCAAAGCTTTAATTGCTAAACCACCTATTCCATTCTCAAGAAGGCATGTTAGGCTATCAAAACAAGCCCTAAGACCATACCAGTACTTAACCCGATTCTTCTACAAAAATTACCTAACTCAGCTTCGTCAAAGCGTTGTCCAACTTAGGAAACTTAGGAATTTCGGCTAAGTCTCAAATGGTTTCACGTCAAATTTGATTTCCAAGCTATTCGATACGCTAGCTAGCGAATTCTATTCTCGACCGCAAGTATTTCATCATCACCTACGAAGCTTAAACTACAAACTTTATTAAAGTTTCGTATATGCGTTCTATAGCATTTTCGTTCAATAAAAATTTGTTTAAAACCCTAAGTGATATAACGCGACATGAAATATAACATTCGTTTCGTGTTTCCGATGAACGTGTTGAGTTACGTACATTGCTTTACACCCTATATTACACACATTTACACATAATTATGATGCTCATATAGTGTTTTAGCAAAAGACTATACAGTGTAACATCGAGGGTGTTACAATGCAGTTCATGATCATCATCTCATCAAGGTCAAGCCATCCTTATCTCATGATCATGGTTAGCTCTTGAGCTCTCACCTCTTTAGTTGAGGATTTCTCTCAAATCCTAATCCCAATCTCTCATGCATGTATGGATCATGGAGTGTGATGACCTCTCATTCATCACAAAGAAATGTGGAAGGCAAGGTGTGTTCAACCTCTCATCTTGAGGTCCAGCATCTCATGATTCCCAATCTTGAAGTTAAGCCATCTTGCTCAATCTCATGTATTCATCACAAGTGGCTCATGGGAAGGGACTTAGCCAAATCACTAGATGCACTAGATAGCCAAAGCCAAAGACTCAACTAGCCTTACCCTAGCACATCCCTAAAGTTATCCTAGAAGTCTAGTGCACGTGCATGGATGTTCACCACCCCAAAGTAGCAACTAACCAACCCCAAAACATAGAGCATGGGTTCTGTCGCCCAGTTGTCGGAGCGTCCGCTGATGTGGCGGGGTGTCCGGTAAACCTCCCAGTAGAGGCACCTAGACCTTTATGAGTGCAAACAATGGAGTGTCCAACTATCAACCGGAGTATCCGCTGAATTATAAAAAGTCACAGCCAGAGAACCCGAGAGCACTTAATTTCTACCGGATTGTCCGTCACTCACGACGGAGCATCCGATAAATTACATATAGAATAACCAGCAACCCAAGAGTGTCCAGAACCTATCGAAGCGCCCGTGATTCCCGTGGAGCATCCGCCAGAACCTGAACAGAATAAACTTTAGACAACCCACCTCGGCACCCAGCACAGTGGATCGTCCGTCAGTCAGAACGGAGTATCTGACAGTCACAGAGAGTGCGAATTTAGTTAACAAGCTTACCCATACAGTCAATAATACCAGTTAGTATCCCAAGTCAGCAACGCAATAGTAGAACCACCGTTAGATGTCTCTTCCCAGGATCCAACGGTGATCTATCCATATTCCTTATCGTCGTTCCGAATCGTCGGTGAATCCCTCCAATCGGATCTCTCTCATTCTTTTTAGGAATCGTCTCGATAAGAAGCGTGTATAGGTTGTCCTCATCAGCCTTGAGGAAGTTAGAACGACAGCATAATCAGGCAGGCACCCCACTATTATGAACCCTACTTTGGATACTTGTCAAGTTGCATTATGAGTTATGCATTGCATGTAGAGTTGGATAATGGTCTTTTCCACGTTACACCTAGAGTCGTTTAATAATCTGTTAGAAGCCTCTCATCTAAACAATGAGAATGGGAACGCTTAATGCTTATTGCTTAGTTGTTGGGGCAATGGTAGAAGTCGAGCATGAGAAGGGAACTCATACTCGCGCGTGTAGGATGCTACACCTGGATAATTAACTACTAAAACCAATGAGGGTACAACCTGACTTACCTTACTAATCTGGCTAAGGAATAATATCATGTTCCTAATATGATAATCTTGATGGTAACTTGGATATTTGGCTCATGCGAGGGGGAGGTCGTTATGAGTGTGGGATCTCAGATGACATAGCTCGTGGAGCAATAAGGACCGTGTATTGGGATATGTAAGTCCAAGTAACCATCCGTACAGACCACATGTCATGGATGGGGTCGACAAGCTGAGTAACTAGTTGCGACCTGTTTATCCGTGAAACTGGCAATGGGGGTGGCGCCGGTCGGGAATGTCTGGGGCATTGATTGGGAACCCAGTCGAACCTTTCATGTGACACTCGGGTCGAATTAGGGAAAGGTTGGAAGACGTGAGGCAACCCTTACTCTTGCGCAAGGGTATGGAGGTTCGTCCCGTTCTTTCATGTGGGTACAGTTGTACACCTCTATAGAGTTTTTAAAGCCTAGAGTCCTTCGGGATGGAACTATTCGGTTGTTCTTTCTTTCTATACCCATGGTAGAATGGATGATAGACTATGAGCATCTTTGTTATAATGATAATGCTTTAACCTTAAGGTTAAGCATAATATGTCATACTTTTAATAAACAATCATTGATTTCCGCATTTATACAAATGCCTGATAATCACCCTGTGCATCCACCAAATAATATATGTTGGAATTAAATCCTACGAGTACGCAATGTACTCACGGTGCAGCCGTTAAGTTGTTTTGCAGGTGACCAGGGCATCTTCCCAAGACTAGCCTAGGTGAATGTAATGGTTAGCAGACCTTAGAACGGGCGTTCTCCAAGATGAGCTACGTGTAACCTGTTGAGTAGATGAGTGACAAGAGCGACAACCCAGGGCAGGGATAGAATTGTTCGGAGCTTTAGACTTAGTAGAAATCTTATAATCTCGAATCCCGCTCTGTTATCAACAATGTTTTAGGAATGAGCGTGAGACTGGAGCGTGTATGTGATTGAGTCGCCCAGTATGCAGTGTATTGGGTATGTGTCTGTAACTCAGCGCAAAGATCCTGAAGAGGAGTTGCTACGTGCGCTCCTGGGGGCCTCGAAGTTGTTAATTCGACAACCCTCGTCGGCTTCGATATCGGTCCTAGACAGGACGGGTATCGGGGTGCGACAGCCGCGGCCTAGGCTCATCGGCCTGGCACCGTGGCAAAGTGGAGCGAGTCTGCCGGGGCCTGCTTGCCGGAGTGGTGAGCGTCCAAGCCTACGCCGAAGCCAGGGATGGATCCCGCCCGTGGCAGAGCACCCCTTCTCCTTCCTCCCGGAGCCCACGCGCGGCTAAGCTTGGGGCCGCGATGGAGCTCTCGCATCTGGGTCGGGGTAGCCGCGTCCGAGCTCTGGGGGCGGCGAACGCCGGCTGAGGGCTGCGCCACCAGGGCGGCGCGTCGAAGGGGAGGACGAGCGTCGACGCTTGGTGCTCGCACGCGTGGGAGAGAACCAAGGCTAGGGGAAGAAAAAAAGAACGAACCGTTATCTACGTAACTAGTGATAGATGGGTAATTTTTTGCCCCAAGAGCCGGTGAAAGCAAGAGAAAGGTGCTTTTGGATTTGTACTATGAGAAAATGTGCTTTTGGATTTGTACTATAGGAAAAGCTGTTTTTGGGCAAAAGCGGTTATAACTTTTGGGCCCTTTGGTTGAGCTTTTGGTTTTGGGGACAAAAGTCACAGCCAAGAGTCCAACCAAACTGGGCCTGAATTTGCTTCCACACAAAATGGCCCGGCACAAGAATTTTTTTTTTTAAAGTGCTCAGAGAGGGATAGGTTCAGATGGTACACTCATAGGCAACACAGCAGGAATTGAAGGCTAAGTATCATCACTGATGAGCCTGAATTGGCATAAACGTTGTGTTCTGCAGTTTCTACTATATGTGCATCGTGTATGACAACATGTAAATTGGTATTAGATGCAAATTTTGCAAGAAGAAAAAAACTTTTGAGCTCTTTTGGAGTAGTGTTCCAGCACAATATATCCACACAGAGATACGAAATTTTCGCAACGACAACAAGGGCGCAAGCAACAACTAAAAAATTTTGCAGAACAGAATCGATTCAATCCACTGCTATATAACCAGGTCAAGTGAAGGTTAATCCGGAATAACCCGGGTGACAAACTGGCATAACCCCGGAAAAGAACAAAATATAATGCGGAACAGGCCTAATGGGCTACCTAGCCTGCTCTGTTTCAGCATAAACAAAACTACCCAGTAAAGCCCAACTGTACCCGCATGAACTAGCCAAGCAAATTAATTAATTACCTTTTGTGTTTCCTTATAAAAAGAGGGAAACAATAATTCAGACACAAGCGTCCCTGAAAATGATTCAAACATGTGTACACAAATTGCCATTACACAGTTATGTTCATGCGTAAACATGGACGATGAACACGGTTAGGAACTAGATCAGTAGATGAAATGATTCCGTACAAGTCCAGTTTTTTTTTTTAACGAAATACCTAAGAGAGTGACCCTTAATCCTGGTTCACCCTACTATGTTCTGGGCCCTGCTTCTACATTGCCACTCCGAACAGGAATCACGTTACAAGGTGTGTACTTCTCCAGGTCAATCTATTGATTGAGTCTATAGCTTCTTCCTCTGAAGGCACCAGTCCCGGCGTTGCCGTTAGCTGGTGGCCGGACAGGAGCGTTGGCTTGCATGCCTATTCTGAATCGAGCAACAATCTTATGTCTGTGCAAGTGCAGCAGGTTAAGGAGACAAGGAGCAGAGATATTTTCAAAAATAAAGTAGCAATAGCAGAGAAATTGATCTTAGTTGTATATGCAAACTGAAAGAGAATGCTTTGGCCACGACCGTGTAAAAGGATACACCCATTTCGGGGTCTTGAGGTAGTTCTTTCCGGTGGCAAGAGGGTGCAACACTGAAAAGAAGTAGTATAGATGTCCAACCATGATCCCCAGAAGGCCAGGCTTTAATGATGACCCAAATATCATATCCAATAAGAGCATAACCCATGGAAGATAAAACGCCTGCAAAAAAAATGGGAGTACATCAACTACTAACGAATTAATCGTATTGTCCACAGGTCCGCAAGGCTTACTTTGCCTGTTAACCAATTGAGCAACACGGAGATGGGAATTGCAATCAATGGTAGTGAAATTACATACCCTCAATTGGACAAGGCCGTATATATTTATCTGAGCATTCGGATTCTCTCGGCTCCAGACATAAACAAGCATGCTGACCATAGGTATTCCCAATGCATAAGTATTGAATATGGGAATAACAGACACCACCTGATTCAAGTAATACAGAGTTATACGCAAGTTTAGTAGAAGTTCAAGAGTGTCTCTTGGTTTGGTCTAATCTGAAATTCTGAATAAAAAAAAACTGACCAATAGTGAGATGGCGCCAAATATCATCGCCCACAAGAAATCTGCTGTCCGTTTATCAAATGCTCCCTTTTCCAACATGACACCATACCTTGCTCTATGTAAGTCAATTTCAAACAACCAAAGATAATTTAAAATTATAGATACTGTGTAAGTAACAATATTTTATCATTGGTGTTCAGCAAAACTTTCACTTACATCATCAGAAGGCGAATACCGAAGTTTATGGAAAATGGTCCCAGAAAGAAGAAACTTGTAAATAACCTCCATACCTGCAGGGTTCATTTTTTTAATATATAAAAAATGAAGATATGGAGTAGGAGTGCAAAACATGTGTACTCCCTCTGTTCCAAATTATAAGTCGCTTTGACTTTTTTATACATCCATTTTGCTATGCATTTAGATATAATAATATGTCTAGATACATAGCAAAATGGATGAACCAAAAAAGTCAAAGCGACTTATAATTTGGAACGGAGGGAGTAATTTACAAGTTCCAAGCATAAGTACATGATAGACAAATCAAAACAAAAGTGTTCTGATCTATTCATAGAAAACAAATATAGCAGAGAGGAATGCAATACAAATATTTCAGAACAAATTCAAGCAAAGTAACTTCCCCTTAATTATCAGGCAAGGTAATCCAGCATGTTACAATGTCCTACCTAATAGAAGCTTACAATGTTTTGCAGTCGAAACTAAGCGATAATAATGTCGAAACTAAGAGAAAACAGAAACAGAAGCTTACCTCAAACTTCTTGAACACCCAAGGGTAATATAATATAAGAAAATGGTCATCCAGGATGTGGAGCTGAACTAGCACGGTGGTAAAGAAACACAATGTCCCATATGCCTTGCTTATAGGTGGAAGTGATTTGTAGTACCTGAAGAAGGCAAGTGAGCACACATTCCAAAGCGGCTTCACAGCTAAAGGATTTATACCTGTTTCTTTGCACAAAGTCTCCAGAAACTAGCACTCCATCCGTTCCAGATTATAAGACATTTTGGCTTTTCTAGATATATAGCAAAATAAGCAATGTATCTAGACATAGTGTATATCTAAGTGGACAGCAAAAGTCACGTATCTAGAAAAGCCAAAATGTCTTATGATTTGAGACAGAGGGGGTAATAAATTACAACTAATGCATGAGCAGAAATAAGAGCAGTAGTAGTAAACCAATGGACAATACATCACTCTATTAGTTTAGGTAATACAATCTAGATACGAAATTTGCAATTAGAAGCATAAGCACAACGACAAGGCTAAAGTTACTGGCACAAGCTATTCCCTCCCAATTGCATTATAGATTCATGGTCAATTCTGCATATATCACTCTGATGTTTTGTCTCTTCTCTTTTACCTGTTGCATTTTAATGCATGTGCCAACTGCCAACATTTTATAACTTTGGCCACTAATTTTCATTTATTCATATTTTTCACATACAAATGATATTATTTGATGCTTCACAGTATAGTTTTAATTATTTTGGCCAGCATATAACTAGAACAGGTAAGGATCAAAGGGTGCACAATGGAGACTGCTAATAATTGGCAATTGAAGCAGAATTGAGGTAGTTGCCTGCTCAATTGATGTGTTTGGTGAATGGACAGTGGACACTATAGAGGGTAGGAGAGGAGTACAAAAATCATGAGTTCATAAACTGGCTCAAGAACCCATATCAGAACCTCATGCCTCAATTAACAAATTCAAATAGGAATAATTTAGCAGAGCTAAGGGTCACAGGCTCAGAGAATCAGGCTAAACTGGTTCGATCATTTCAGCTAGTACAAAAATGGTGACAGTTTCAGATGACCAGATCTACGGATTTTAACCACCGACACCAACATCTTTAATCAAATTCTTTTGTTGATTGGCAGAGTCATCACCAGTATCAAGGGCCCAATAATCAAAGATCATCAAAGGGGGTGTCTTCATGATATATTGTACTGTCAATGATGCCCCAGCAAAAGCAAAGGGGAAAGAAAAACAAGTCGTGTTTGTAGATTTCGACAACAGCAAAGTGGCAAAATATTTTTAGTAATTTATAGAATACCTCTATGCATCAGGTGATGCACACTCCAGTTCTTCCTTTTGAATTAAACTAATCGCGAATAATGCTTCAAATACCCTTATTCAGAAACCAGGAATCATTTTTCGCCAAAGACACTAAGTATGCAGCAGAAACAATCATGGAACTAAATGATATAAAAATGATCTGTAAGGATTACATATTGATATATTGTCATCACTGACACGTCCAGATAACCTTCCAGCCCAAGATCACAAAGTTTGAAGTGCATGGAAAATTTATTATTATTCAAACTTGAATGAAAATGGAGCCTGTAAACAAACCAATTCAGGTGCTAGAATTTTCACAGGAATAAAGGAAAGTGGTGAATCAACTTCGCTTCTAAGTTGAAAGACTATTTATCATGAGTGATAACTAACCCTTCATCTTGTGACAGTACAAACTCGCAGTACAAAGCCGGATGATATGTATATAACGCTGTACCAGTCCAGCAACATACAGATAAGATCACTAGAGAACCGACGAACATGAACCTATCAGCTTAAATCCCCCACCAATTTCGAAGCCGAACCCTAAGGGACCAAAGTGGCGCTACGACTCCGCAACCCCAGCCCTCTACTGTGCAACACAAGGATAAGCCCACTCTATTCTGATAAAAATGAGAGAATCCATCGATTACTCGGAACAGTTCAGCTCGAATTCCTCTAGCGATCCCCAACCCGAATCACGGGGGCCTACCATACGACATCTACACGTCGGAATCTGAGATCGAAGCTCGGAATCAGATGAAACCGCTGTAAGAGTCGAGGGGACTCACTCGGCGGGCGAAGACATCTTCACGCGTCGATGGATCCGAGGCCTCGACGTTCCCCTGGTCTAGTCTCCTCTCGCGTCCGCTTCCTTCTTCTCGTCGTCCCGTTCGAAGCTTGGGAGGAGGAAGAACCGAAGAAGAGCGGGTTGAAACCGAGGTCGCCGCGCCTGCGGGAACCTTCTGGTGGAGGAGAGAAGCAAACGCACCGTTGATCTCCGATCGGAGGGATGAAGATGGCTCAACACGTAGGTGTGTGCGCTACGGCGCAGGCGATTGGTCGTGCTACGCGGCTGGATGCTGAGGTGGCCTTGGTCGTGCTACGTCGAACTGACCCGGAGTTTGATTAAGAACGCTGCAGGACCTGATCGGCCGTGTTAGGGTAACTCTAACTAGTGCCTCAAAATTTGACCCCTTACTCTCACGAAGGAGAGTCCCTTGTTCAGATTTCAGTCTTTATTTTTTTTTACTCCAAATAAACCCCCATTTCATTCTCCCTGTATTTCTCTCACCTATATTTTATATATAACTTGTGACTATTAAGTCCAGTATTTTATATATAAACCATGTTATTTGAAATTGGTATTGTTGGAATTGATATTTGGAATCGAATTAACAAATGAAGCACAAGCCAAAACATATAATAAAATAATGTTATTCTTTTTTCTCCCTCACGTCAATCTCACAGCTCGCACTCAGCACTCCATCCGCACGTACATAACTCCCTCTCCCTCTTTTTGCTTTGTAGCAGGGGGCATTCAGGGCTAGAAAGGGTAGCATCAAGGGGCCAGGGACTCAGGGACCAGAGCACAGCACAGCAGGGGAGAGGGAGCCGCGCGCAGTAGGGGAGAGGGAGCGCCGCATAACAGAGCGCAACAGCAGCAGAAGAGGGCCTAGCACGGGCAGCCAGCGAGCTGTGGCGGCCACGCCGGCCAGATCTACCAGTAGGGATGGAGGCCACGGGGAGAAGAAGGAAGGCACCGAGCCTACCTGGACGAAAGACTCCACGGCGGCGTGGGAATCAAGCCGTTGGTCTCACGTCTAGGAGTTTGTTTTTTAGGAGAGAGAAATAAGAGACCCTCATCCATCGAAGCTGGGATGAGAGAACGGTTGAAGACGAGATTTTGTGTTCATCCCTCAAAAATAAGATAGGAGTTGAGATAAGGGGCTGGTTGGAGTTGCTCTTATTGTATCCACTACAATAATACCTAATCGGACATGGCTAACGCACGATAGGCTCACTGCATATCGCACGACCATCATCAACCTCGTGCAACCCCTTCCCTTCCTCGTGGCGTCCCATTCTTTCTCCTCACCGGCGTCTTCTTCGTCCCCAGCGACCCTCTCCCCCACCGCTGCCCCCTCCCGTCACTTCGATGTGCTAGGGCTTGGCCGGTGCTCCGGCCAAGCCCTAGCATGCCCGTGGTGGTTGCCTTCAACCCCCCTCACCGGAGCTTGCCCTCCCCGAAACTCCCTCGCCCTAACCTGACCCGGCCGCCACCGCCGCTAGGTCCATAACTGCCCTCCGATCATCCCCACCGCCTAGCCAGCCTTCCTTCCCCCAAACCCTCCCTTTGTAAGCCCGCTGGAGTTGAAGATGAGAGGAGAGCTCGCTGGAACCCTAACTCAAAGATCTAGGAGGAGGAGGCCTACCTCGCCGGATCCGCCATGGCCGCCGACCGATCCGTCGGATCCGCCATGGTCGGCATAGGTGGGGGGAGGAACTCGGCGCGAGTGGGGGCGTGGGCACGGGGCGGTGGGGAGGAGGTCACCGGTCGCGTGAGAGTGAGTGAGGGGAGGCAGGCGTGGGGAGTGGCTATGCGGGTCATGTAAAATACGGTCGTCCGTATCGAAGTCATTACCTAATCAATTTGCCTTTTCTTTGTTAGTCAGCTGCATCGAGCGTACCTCACTTAGAATCGTTTTTGGATTCTCAACAACAATAAACAACGTTTAGAAAAGGTAGGTTTCTCTCTCAGGGCCGTCTCAGGAATTTCATAGGCTCTATGCTAAATTTATTATTATATTATGTCCTAATCTTATCTACAAGATATAATGCTATACAACATACTATTTGAAAAACATATCATTTTACTGGACTTGTCTTCAAAATAGCATTTATCGTTTATTTTCAAAAGAATTATTCATTACTAATTGTTAAATATTTTCAAGACCATTTTTAATAAATTAAATAATCAAGTATTTTAGAATCTATTGCATCCTAATAAGTTAGACCAACTATATCAAGTTGAAAAATATCAAAATTTATTTTATTATTATTTCATCAGGTGATTAAGTCGACTTTATTGTGGTGTATTTATTGCTCACCAATGGAAGAGAAATTAGCTTAAAACAAATTCAAATCACAAACTTGATGAACACATGATTGATTGAAAAGAGAGAAAAAAAACTATGTAGTGGTTGAAAAGAAAAAAAAATCTGCTCTGAGGTTATTGGAACTTGGATTCCTAACTTGTATTTGATCTATGAAAGTGTTGGAAGTTCCAAGGTCTTAGTATCGGTTGTTGGAGAAAGAAGGACAAGGATTTTTTTTATGAAGTAGTATCACATTATGATGATGATTCACTCTATTAAGATTGCATTTCACCTTCCAATGGTATCTTACATTGTGATCTCTATGATGTCCTTAGGACACATGTAGTGTCAATACTTTATTATGATATTTTCTTATCCTTGAATTATTTATTAGTGCAACTAATTTGTTTCATTTCTTTGTTCATAGGCTATGGGTAAATTCTCGTCTATAGAGCATACAAGGAGTAATTATAATAAATGTAAAGTATCGTATCATACATCTGCAAAAATGATGACCTTGAAATTCATTTTAGATGTCGTTTGAAGAGGATCATGAAGTTGTTGTGTTGGAGGCACGATAGCCTCTCCTTCAAGTATTCTTGGATCATCTGGTTAATTGGGAGGAACTTCATGAAGATGGTATTGATTTCAACAACCATGTGTATTGAGAACGAAATGAAGGTGGGTTTCACACCTTTTATTTTGTTTCAATTTGTTATATGCGTGCAATTTCAGTTTTTTTATCTAGTTCTTTTATTCCGATGATATTGATCCAATTCAGTTTTCATTTTTGGTTTGAAGATGTGTCTCATGTTGGCAATCAACAAGGACTGACCAAGCACGAAGCAGTAGATCAATAAGGAGCAACTGTTTAGATTCTCTTTTTTATTGTCGGTTTGAATCTGCTTAGCGAGCAACCTTATTGTTGGAGCTCACGAGCGACTCTTGCAGGATATGTACCAAATGGCAATGTAGAAATGCAAAAAGTAGCTTTAATAGTGAAGTCTTAAAGGAGCTGGATGTAGGGTCGAGATGGCGGACTAGAGGGGGTTGAATAGTCTTTGTTAAAATATTCGTGCCAGCTAACAAAAACAAATGTGAAATTAAAACTATCTATGTAGCCAAGACTATACCCCTCTATCTAAGTTATCAAGCACCTTACAAAGATCCTAATTAGGCAACAAATGTGCCGGGCTAGTGTTGGTAGTCCTTAACGATAAAATCCAACTGCCAATTAAGACATAAAAAGAGGAGAAATTGACAATCTTATACACATAGGCATTTACTATTAACCTAGTTCCACATGTATTTGGATAATATTGTTTTGCAGGACACAAACACAAATGCATGAAAGATTTCACCAAAAGGCGCTTTTTAACGCTGATTTGCGCAAAGGAACAACCAAGACGCCCATTAACTCAACTCAACCGGGTGCAACACCGACCAAGGAGCAGCCTAGGTCCAGCCCACAACCCACCGCACGAAGGCGGTGGCGAGCAGGCTTGGTATTTACACCAAAATTTAGGAGAAAAATTGCAGGGACTCGAAAGCTCTCAAGATTATGTTGTCAAGGAATTGATTGCATGAAGGTCGGTATCAGCTGATTCGAATACAGCACTAGAATCGGCTTTCTTCAGATAGCGCCAGCAGATAACGACAAAAGCTACGATCGGCGCCGGGAAAATCATGTTGGACTCTACAAAAAGAAAAAGATTAGGGTCCAAGTTATCTTAAATTAGAAATGTTTTTTCTTAGGCCAAAAATTATGATGAGTCATGCTTAAGTAGGATTCATGCGTAGGTTTCGGTATAAATATTGGACCCCGGCTATTGTAAAGGAGACACAATCAATCAAACACAAGTTACTTACTTTTTTTCGGCTCGACCACCCCTTGGAGTAGGAGTAGAGTAGATCTTGGTGAGTTCTTCAGCGAGCAGGGCTGCATCGGTCCGGCCGACCTCCGGCTTGTCTGTAAGTACCGTCATGGCTTATACTTCTGTTCGTACGGCTACATCGATCCGGTCAACCTCCACTGCGATTTTGGTATAAGCTACTTATCGACTCTTGTTTAGTTCAAGTACGGCTGCATCGATCCAGTCGACCTCCACTGCTCGAACTAGATTAAGGTCAAGTTATCGGCTCTATCTAAGGGTGGCGTCCTTCGGATAGATTCATTAAGTTACTGATATTGCTTATTGCTTTCATTATTTATTTAATTACAACAATATCACTTCGCCCGATTGGGATTGATTTAGATCGGCCTTATATCCTGTTTAACCCATCGTTTATTAATCTAAACTAATCTAATCTGCATCTTAAACGATGAGTTATGTTTTATCAGCTGTTTTATGTCAATCTTGATCGTGCATAACATGGAGTGAGGATTGTTACTTGGTAGATCTGTTCCTGATAGGGCATGACCTTAACTGTGCGTTATGCCTGAACCGACTGTTTTAGCCGATATCGAGTGCTTTCACATATGTCGTCCACGTCACGAGATCGTTGAAGTAGAGATAGGTTAAAAGATGTGTTAGCCCCATGATCTTATTATTGTATTATGGCCTGCATGATTCTACCTCATGCCCCATTGATATTAGTAATAAGTTAGAGTTATCGAATTTATCGCTGTTTCTACGCCCTGCATGATTCTGCATCATGCCCCACTGGTCATAACGATAGATGAGATCTAATATGTTCATTAGATTTATCTCTATTAAATGGTTAACTGATGATGAGCTGCTTCTTTTACATAAAAAGGGATTCGGTTACTTGCAGTCATTGGCTTAGCATAAACTGATTATTGTTGACATCCTATTGCCATTGACTAATATTTGTCTAAATAACGATATTCATCCTGAATGATAACCGATTTTTCTTCTACAATCATATGAGCTTTAACTGATTTATTCTTATGAGTATGCTGGAATTGACTATTTAGTCGATCTCCTTCCATATCGGCTCTCAGAGCCACACATTCAGGACTGTCTAGCAACACCGGCATGTTCCGCCTTAAATTACTGATTAACTTTCTCTCCTTATCAATTGCAGGGTCAAATTGACTGGCACGTCTCGGGAGGAGTGCGTAGGATCGATAATCCCTATGTTGAAGCTAGGCGGATCTCCAGCTCTATCGAACGGACCCTTCCGGCTTGCTCGTGTGCCCCGGCATGGGACAAAATTTTATGCCGACACACGTTCTGGCATGCCCGGTGGGACCCCACAATCATCATGGCGGTTTACAACAACAACGACATCCTTATGGTACATTACGAAGACTTACCTGTTGGAGATAAAGATGTCATCGGCAAAGCTATAGAAGAATTTTAGAACAAGTGTTTGTTGTCCTACACCAAAACACATGACAATACAATTGTTTAGAAATATCCACTACCCAGAGTTCTGTTGCATGGACAGACAGATGCAGATGAGACTAAAGACAGGCATTTCTTCACAGAAGCTATAAACAAGTCTGTTCATGATGCCATATTGAACCATGATGAAATTTTCCTGAACACATTCCATAACACCATGAAAGAGGTGTTTCATGGGTTTCCAATTGATCAGGTTGGACCGGCTTATTATAATATTCCACATCCATCAACTCAAGGGACTAATCAAACTGGTACCAGCCATCAAGAAGCAGCACCAGCTGGTAATGATGATATCCAGACAGTTCAGGGTTCATCTGAACAAGCTTAAGGTGTTACTACAAATCAGATACAATATAATTCTGGATCATCAGTGCAGCATGTGCAACAGCCTGCGGGGCAAGATCAGAACCAGGTGATTAATTTTGGCACATCAGGCCACATACCGTCGTCGGCTCAAAAAATAGCACAATCAATTCAAAGGATCCGTAGAGATATAGATCCTAATGTCTATAACCAGAGACTTCAAGCAGCAAACCAGCAAAGGACCCAGCAGATAGAGATTCCATAGGGGTATCATTATGGCTCGGATTATAACACCCTTCACATGATTCCGAATCCAGGGTATCAAGGCACACGAGATTTCAATCCACAGATGGGTCAGCAAGTGCAGAGAAATCTAAATTCACATGCTGACGAGTTGTTGCTGAAGGTGACCGAGATGATAAAGAATCAGTTCAGTCTGAAGCCAAAAGGGCTGACCTTCTTGTACAAACACCCATATCCAGAATGGTATGATTTGGTCGCTCTTCCTACAAATTATAGGCTCCCAGAGTTTACTAAGTTCACTGACCAAGATAGCACAAGCATAATAGAACATGTCAATCTGTATCTTACACAGTTGGGCGAAGCATCCGTTGAAGAGGACCATCGAGTTCGTTTCTTCTCCTTGTCCCTATCAGGGCCAGCCTTCACTTGGTTTTTATCACTGCCAGTCAACTCCATTGCCAATTGGG